TGTAGCTAGGATCTTGAAAGGGGTGATCCCTCTTGTGAATTGCATGTACCGAGCAGGGATATCCCTGGTGGAGGTCCGGGGGCTGCATTACCCCAGAAGGTAGAGCATTCTAAACCTTCATAAATAATATTAGTAGGCAATAATTATTGTAATAACTCAACAGTGGCAGATCCAGGAATTCAAAATAGAGGGGAAAAGATAGGGACTTTCACTGATAGGTTCCACCCACCTCAGCCCCACCATTGTTGGGGTTGAGGTAGGAAAGTTATGACTAGCACGTGTAGATGGCCGGAAATGGCACTCTCAGACTACAATTTAAATATAATTTTCTTTTTTTCTGCATTTTGTTTACAACTTGAAAAATTTAGGGTGCCTCCTCCACCCCCACCCCCTGAATCTGCCACTGCTCAAAACATTCTTTATTCCAAATGTGGCAAAGACAAAGCCAAACCAGTCACTCGTCGCAAATCCTGTTTTGGAGAAAATGGCCAAAACATGCTGGAATGTCAAATTTTTAAAAATCTATTTTATTGCACTAAACTAACCTTTATATATCTATACATCATGCTATGCTGTTATTTTCCTCATTTTCAATGTTAAAACAACAGTTTTTAATGATTTGGTGATGGTTTCTGCCTAAGAAATGCCTAAAATCATAAAATTTGAAGGCTGATTTCTCAAATATTGTTCTTTAAACAGCTGTATGTTTAAACTCGTGTAACTTCATAACGAAGTGTTGGACTTAAATGATTATTTTACCATTTTATAGCTCTCATTGTACTGTTAAACCCTATATTAATAACTAAAAATTGATTTTTCCGACGAGTGACTGGTTTGGCTTGTCTTTGCCACAAATAGTCATAATCATGAAGACTGTGCATAAAAAATTTGATCACATCTTGAAAACAAATTTATGTATCCCCCCCTCAGCAGTCACTAAGGCATACTCTAAGTGAGGTGCCGACTGGATGAAGTTTAATGTCATACCCAGGACAACTTGGGCCTCAATATAGCTTACTACGCTTTAACTGCTATAATAATTATAATGATTGGACAAATTATTATTAAACAAAACTTTATAAAAGCTTGCAAAAGAATAAAAACCAAACTGAACCATACAATATCACATTTCTGTATCTTAAAAGACCTGTCCTGGGATTTATGAATTAATTTATAGACTAATTTAAGCTGATATTGTTGTTAAGCAATAATAATCTTTATCATATTTTTATATAGATTTTTTAATATTGATAAATCCACCCTGTGAGTGGTAAAGACCTTATAAACCCGAAAATGTAAATTTTTGCATTATCGTTTATAGTGAAAAATTGGTTATTCTAATGAATATTCCACTGGGTTACTACTGTATATCAGCAGCAGGTGACTTTTATTAATAGATGTTTATGATGGGTTTTTATCACAGGTCACAGACATATAGTAGGAGTCATTTAGAAATTACTCAGTATTTAGACTCCAAAATCTTTCAGTATTTTTTTTTTATTTGTAATCGTATAGAAGTGACATGTCGTCCTCAGAGTTGACTATCACTTTCACATAGCGTAGGTCTGCAAAATGAGTTATAACAAACCATGTTCTATTTGTATTTGTAACTTGCGTAAAAATTTCACACTTATGTGTTATTATTATAGTATTATATATGTATAACGTGTGCTGATCCATATTCACATATTTTATCAAGTATTTATTTTGAGTGATCCAAGGAAAGAATTTGTATCTGCTATAAAGAATAAGCTTTAAAATACTAACACTGTGTACAAAGGGGGTGGGGGAGCCACAGCTCCCACAGCCCCTGGATACGTCCCTGCTTCTCTCTAATGGTTATTGTTATTGTTATTATTATTGTTATTTGTATTATTATTCCAGACAAGAAAGAGGATATAAGCATATTATAAGCTTAAGGTTGTTATTTAAACAATAGTTTAAACAATGCCATGTACTACCAAAGATGCCTACATACTGTCGTACATGAATAATAACATTTCTGATTGTATTTTGTGATGCGAATAAAATAACTATATCAGCCGTTGTCATCTCAACTTGATAAGACATACTGCATTTATTTATCTTCTAGTCTAGTAAAGATAAATCAATGTTCCGATTGGTTGGTGTACTTTGTGGTTTGGTGATCTACAATCAAGTTATTGTGGACATGCCCTTTCCTCTAGCACTCTACAAAAAACTTCTAAAAAGGTAAGAAATATGCACATAATGTTAGTAGGTATACAACTATATTTCTAATAATTAACTATACATTTCAGGTTAAATACTTTTGCTTAGTCAAAAAGTAATTTTTTTTCAGGCCAGTACATCTGTCAGACTTCAAAGAACTAGATGAGACGATGGCAGGATGCTTGCAAGATATCCTAGATTATGAAGATTTTGACCTACAGGATGTATTTGACTTGTACTTTCAAGTATCCACAGAATGCTGTGGAGAGGTACGCATAGTTGACCTCAAAGAAGGAGGAAAGAACATTCCTGTCACCATTGATAATAAGTAAGTTCACAATTTTTTCCTTCAATATCAATTTGTCTTATCAAATGATACTACAGTATCCAGAAGTCTTCCCACAAGCAGTGATGGGAATTGAACCGGGCACCAACAGATCTCCAGGCTCAGCACGCACACACACTATAGCTATCACAAGTTTAGATGACTGAGCTAATCTACTCTCATGTTGTTTACATCTTATTTGCTTCCTTTAGGCAGGAGTATGTGGACCTGTATATTCACTATTTCTTCAATGAATTGGTGAAGGACCAATATAATGCTTTTGAAGAGGGGTTCTTTCAGGTCTGCGATGGAATAAAGCTGCAGCGTTTTCATCCTCAGGAGCTTATAGCTCTCGTGGTTGGCAATAACATTTATGATTGGGAAGAATTTGAACAAGTAAGTCAATCAAATGCTCTATTTATTTATCAATCGATTATTCATGTATATCATGTATTGTATATACAGGACATTACAGAAAAACGTAGCTAAATTGATGAATACAATTACAGTATATATAAAAGTAGCTGAAAATTAACAGTGATGCTATGAATGTAGTACTGTATGTATTATAATATTATTTCCACATATTCTATTTTTTAGTTGGTTGAATACAGAGGCATCTTCAGCAAGGAACACAAAACTATTAAATTCTTCTGGGAGGTTTTCCATGACTTCACATTGCAGGAAAAGAAGAAATTTCTAGGTAATTATAACAAACTAGTTGGTCCATTGTGGTTTGTGTACTTTTTACAATACTAATTGAGATTTTGATGATCTTTTTTTTTTGATCAGATGAATTTATTCACTAAGGATATTTCTCATTTATTTTCTTCTTCTCCAATTATTTCGGACTTGAATATATTTTATTAGAGATAGTGGTGTTTGGAACCAAGATTAAAAATGCATTAATATGTTATATTTCGTATTCAAATATCAATTGACAAATTTTGCAAATAATATTTGAAATGAGTCTGGAAGATGAGATTTGATATAATAATGCATGTTTAAACCTATACATTTAAAACATCATTATTATTAAGGTTGTTTTCCATAATCATTTTTGTTGTAATTACATAATAGTTATTAAAAATTAATTTCTTGTTTTTCTAGCCTTTCTAACAGGTAGTGATCGGATCCCAGTGCAAGGCATGTCTCAACTACATGTGAGAATCCAGCCAGTATTTGGCAGCACAGACTTCTTACCAGTAGCTCAAACCTGCTACAACATTCTTGAACTACCTTTGTACGAAAGCAAAGAAATAATGCAAGAGATGTTGCTGAAGGCGCTGGAGTATGGTCAAGGATTTGGACTTTTGTAATCTTGTAATCCAGTGGCGTAACAATGAGCAACAGGGCAGAGGGGATGCCTTCCCTACCTTGAAACATTCTTGAATATTAATAAGGCTGAAAAGACTGCATTATAGGCAGTGTGCAGGCCTGTACATGGAAAGGGGGGGGGGGGATTTCCTATAGGGCAAGTTTAACTCTGAAGTGTTTTTTTAATTAAAAAAAAGTTATTAAACTGGTCAAAATAGGGATTCGATCAAACCGATTTCATCATCCTGATTCCAGGACTGATGTCAATACTGTTCAAACTTTATGAGTTAAAAACCAGAAATTATATTGTTGTATTGCTAGTTTTGGGTGTCCTTCTACTGGTCCCAATGTCAAGGTAGTGCATTGGGTGATAGTAGAAGGGGACCTTGAGGCCCCTGGTGGCCTTTTGGAATGGGAGCCTGAGGTTGGACTTCCCACTCCCAGGAGCTCATAGGCATTAATACGCCACTGCATGAATCAAGATTCATTAAAATGTCCTGTATTTATTCAGCCATTAAAAATAGCAAATTATGAATTTAATAAGATACAGTTATCACTACTCCAGCCCCACAGACCCGAGAATCCATTTGGAGGGTGAATAGTATTAAGGTACTGTATTATATCAAGGTCAAATTTACTAAATCTTCATTTACAGGTAGATAGAAAATTAATAATTGTAAATACTACACCAAGACGCTTCATTGTTATTTTGTCCGTCATATTTTTTTACTTCTTGTGAAGGGGTGCCATGAGCATTTTCTTTAAACAGATATCGGCGCTTTAAAAGTTTTCATTATTATTATTATTATTATTATTATTATTATTATTATTATTATTATTATTATTATTATTATTATTATTATTATATTATTATTATTATTATATTATTATTTATGGAACAAATATTACGTAGAATATATGACATGTATATAGAATAGAAATAAAAATTATCAGTAATTATTACTTCCATAAAATTAAATAACTATTAAAACACTGATTATAAAACTTTTAATGCACAGAAAGAGATATAAAACATTATTATATTCTAAAATACAGTATTAACTGTATTTGATTAATTGATTGTATATACTTCACCAAGATGTTAATATTTACAGAAAAAATAATGTATAGAATATATGACATGTATATAGGATAGAAATAAAAATTAGTAAAAATTATTATTTACTAATTATTACAACACTGATTATAAACATTTTTAATGCACAGAAAAGATGTAAAGCATTATTACATTTTAAAATTATTCTATTATATATTATAAATGATAATTGTAAATGTTATATATAAAGTATATATCATAGAGGTTACATGTGTGTGTGTAAATAGTGTTGTGGTTTTTAGTTGATCACGTAAATAATCATATACTGTAGTAGTAGGTGAATAATAGAGAACTGCAGAAAAATAGTCACCTACAAGTGAATAAATTACCAATTTGTAGTTGTGTATAAAAACGAATCCATGTGGCACTTTCCATGTGGCGAAATGCAATACGGTGTATTGTATTTGAGACTAAAATTATTATAGACCATTATACTTTTCATTTTAATCCTAAAAATGAATATTTTTCGTAGTTTACTTCCTTGCTCTGTCGAAGAATTTAGCTTAATCTGTTCTGATTTTGTATTGATGGCACAAACAATATTAAATCATGAATACTCTCATTATGTAGTCTCAATTGAGTCCTTTCTAAAAGCAATATTCAGGGTTGGCGCCAAGATTTTCCTGACGGGAGGGGGAGGTCCGATTTCTCCGACGACAGCTTAAGTGGACGTGGTCGGTGGTCTTTTAAAACCTCTCGGAAGTCGTCCAGGGGTAACTCATCCCAGAAACTATGACAATTTAGAGGCGTATTTAATCGAATTAAGAGTCTACTAAATTTAAAAAGTACATTTTTCTTTCCTCCCAGGCGAATTGTTTTTTGTTTCTCCTGACGGTAGGAGGCCCGCTCCCCTCCACCAGCTGGTGCCACCCCCGGGTAATAATAGCTGTGTTTAGCTGTGTTATTATTGTAATATTGTAACGAATGACCGAGAATGTCACTATAAAATGAAATGGATACTGTAAAAAGTAAAATTACATGTTTAGGCCTATGTATTTTATAAATGCGCTTTTAAGTAATAAACTTAAGTAATTCTCAGTATTTGAATTGCTGTGATGAAAACATAAATTTAATTGCATACTTTGCGTATTTAAGTAATTTATTAGAATGAGAAAAACAATAAAGCTCTTATACGTCTTGCACCAATCAGGTGTACTGGTGAGAAAGAATTTTACAATCGATTTGATCGCCCGCGTCCAGCGTGTCTTGAACAATAATATATACCGTAAAATCTCTAATAGAAGCCATGGAATTCTTTTCGAGGCCACTTTAATAATAATAATAATAATAATAATAATAATAATAATAATAATTATTATTATTATTATTATTATTATTATTATTATTATTATTATTATTGTATTGTTGTTGATGTTACCGCTATTATCATTGTTTCTCTTGTAGGCATCTTGTACAGGGACATGTTCCCTCCTAAGTAAAGAAAGGGACTTCTTTTCAAAATGAATGCTGTAAATTTTCGGAATTACTAGGCCTACTATGGAGCAATAAATAGGGCCACTGTACCACACATCAATCTGTATTAACCGGCATTAAAGTACCTAAACTACTGTATAAACCATGTGTGTTTTAAATTTATTTTGTTTCTTCGAAATTCTTGTACAGTATATATGTGTATTGTACTAGGCCTATCTATAGAAAAGAAGCCCGTGGGCTTCCCTTTTGAGGCTACTTTTGCAAACTAAAGAGGGGGCTTCAATTTGAGATGGGCTTCTCGAGATTAAGCCCATTGGGCTTCTATTCGGGGTTTTCGGTATTGCATTATAGTACCATACAGATATAAATATCTTGGTGTTATTACACCAAGATATTTAAAGGATCATAACAATATTGAACATATAATTCAAAAATGTAACAAACTTTTTGGTTACTTTAAAGGAAATTTTTGGTAACCTAAATAGTTTTAACAGAGTGATGGGGACATTCTCTGGCAAATTGCTCTCCCATCAATAAACTTTGCTAGCCCGCTTTGGGTAGGGAGTAAAAATGACTGTGAAAGAATCTAGAGAACTACTGGTCTCTGTAAATGCTGTACTGTGAACGAGGAAGCAAATATTACTTTTTATTATTGTCCTGTTGAGGATGATTAGAAATGATAAAATCTAGAAATTTAAACAGTAACTCTCATTTAACGAAAACGTATTTCAAAACTTGAGATGTGATCTTTTTCAATGGTATCTTTTGTACCGTTATGTTGGAAGAAATAAAGTTAACCAGCAACGCATTGAAAACATCGGTCTTAGTGTTTTATTGGGGTCGAAATAGACGAAACATCATTGAAAAGATTTCGGAAGAAGATACTGAGATCTGACCGAAATCACTGGAGAATCTGGAAAAAAAGAAAAATGAAAATGATGAGCAACGCTTTCCAAAACAAACGGTTCTTTTCAGAACCTCTAAATATCCCAAAAGAGATTTGATCAATGATTGCTGCCTTGTGTAATTAAAAAAAAAAAAAAAAAATGTAGTTCTGTGTAATTTTTTTTGTCAATTTTTGGGAACTGACCTTGACAATGCCCTTTTAGTAATGAAATTAATAATAATAATAATAGTTAACAATAATTATGGCAATAATATAAAGTAATATTAATATTAGTGCATAATAAATAATTTTAAAATTCGCTAATTACTCAAATTTCCACTCTGAAAAGTATTAATTCATATTTAAACATTTGACCTTTACCGGTGACCTTTGACCTTAAACAGTGACTTTTGACATGATATGGTGACCGCTGACCTATTAATATTAGTGCATAATAAATAATTATTTTAAAATTCGCTAATTACTCAAATTTCCACTCTGAAAAGTATTAATTCATATTTAAACATTTGACTTTTTACAGGTGACCTTTGACCTTAAACAGTGACTTTTGACATGATATGGTGACCGCTGACCTAACTTAATAATTACATAACTAATTATGTATAATAATTAGACAATGTGATGTTACATAAATAAATACTGATAAATACAATGTAATTAACATGGCCTAAAATGCTACACAAATATACACTAGGGACACATTTCTTGGATAATAAAAACAATAGGAATTACTCCCCGGGGAAAAACGTACTTAAATTGCAATATCTCCGCTGATACTGGTCCGATTTACATAATTTTTGTTTTAAAATGCTTCACTCAGCTATGTCTTTCTTATAAAAATAATTAAAAAAATATTTGCAACATTTCAATTTTTTATGTTTTTAGCTGTCAGAGGCTATGCCTTTTCCACAAATCGGTATCTTCTTGAAGATATGACAAACAACCTAAGTCAGTGGTGCGTAACCAACAAAAATAAGATAAGCTTTGAGACTAAATTCTTGTTCTCATGTTATTGAAAAAAAATCGGAGGGTCGTATCACATGAATTTTGTTTGGAAAATGTTCTTAATTTAAAAGACTATAAAATTACTATGCCTTTTTTCTTTCTGGACCCCCTCCTGCCGACGACGGCTTTTTCATGTGTGCTATTTTATTATGTGTCCCGGATTTTAATGCAGTTCCCCACTTTCTAAATTAAGATGCTTTTTTGAACAGTTTAATGGAATGAACAAGAGACAATAATATTAACGGCACCGCACAAGCATAGGCGCTAGTTTATACGGTTGTATTTGTGTTTTATAGTTTTTGTATTTTTAGGAGTTTCCATTCCAGATTCCAGCATTTTTTAAACTGCAGCATGATCTACTAGGAATGATGTTATCCAGGGTGTTTTCATTGAACCTGGATGTGGCAAGTAGCAAGGATCAGCAGATATCAGAGGTAGTGACCCATGCAACACCACAAGAAGTTCCGCTGTTCAGGAATCGTTCCATTCGGCAAATAGCCTGTGGATCGCAGCAGACTGTTTTTGTTTTAGGTGATGGAACAGTTTACACTCATAATAGCGAACAAGGTGATGTCATACCAGGTGTGTATGAATTTTCTCCAATAGCTGCTCTTAAATTATTAGTTTTATATTATTTTTGTTGTTATATTACTATTTGTATTAATTGTTATATGCAGTACTATATATCCTATTGTATTTCTATAATTGTAAGTTTATTTTCTTCACACAGAGCGTATGTCTTCTCTGGATACATTCTCCATTGTGCAAGCTGCCTGTGGGGATGGACACAGTGTGGTCTTAAGTAATAAAGGTCATATAATTAGTTGGGGTCATGACTTAAAAGGTCAATGTGGTCATGGTACAGTGAGCAACAGCCTGAAACCAAGGTAACAATATGATATATAATTTAGTATAATACAACACCAAAACCATAATTCTGTAAATCTGATGCAAACATTTTAATTGTGATGATTTTATCAAGTTGTGCATTTAGTTTTTACTAGTAGTACTCATGGTAGCTGTGTTGTTGTCAGTGATGCCATGTGGTTTGTATAATCACATAAAATTAATATTAAATTTAATGTTTAATTTTTTTTTTACGACAGGGTTATAAAATCTCTCTCAATGGAATTTATCATACAAGTCTCCTGTGGTTCCAATCACACACTGGCTCTTGCAAAAAGTAATTTATGATTTTACTAAGTAGTATTGGTAATCAAAGAACTGATAATCATATGATTCATGTCTAGATACCGTGTATATGTGTTTTTACTTGTTAATATTTATCTATTTGAAGATCCTGGTACAACAGTATACTGTACTTATGGATATAGTAATATTTTTCTTATCGTTTGTCCTAGCATTGTATATCGTTATATTTATTTAAGTGTAGTTCAAACATTTTAATATCATGTTGTAGTTTTGTCCTTCAACAACACTGATTAAAATATTGATAACGAGGATGGTGTTGATTACCCAGGCAACCAAGTAGGAGGGTGTTGGACTTCTGATCGTGAGATCGGGAGTTCAAGACCGAAGGTCGAAGGTCATCGCATTACTTGTGCAAGGCACTTAACTTATGTTAAGTAATAAATAAACTGAAGTCTTTTTTCCACAGGTGGCAAAGTGTTTGCTTGGGGTGACAACAGCAGATTCCAGTTGGGATTTAGCACTAATCCTGAGCACACCTGTGCTAAACCAACTAAAATTGCATGCTTGAGTGATCTGCCAATCAAGCAAATATCCTGTGGAGGTGATCACTCCCTCGCTCTGACGTTTAGTGGTACTGTCTTCGGTTGGGGATGCAATGAATCAGGACAGCTTGGACAATATGATGCAACAGGTAAACCTCTCCAGCTTATGTTAAGCCGCATAACTTGGACCAAAAAAAAAAGGGAAACAATTTTTCTTCTGGTACTTCCAATATGCACCGAGTTCTTTAAAATTATAACAGGCACTGATGAATAACAGACCAACAGATTTGTATTCATAATTTAAACAGAAGAGGGCAGTCAACTCTGTCCAGGTTTCAGTGTGTATACAAAGACGACGACACCACCAAAAGTATGGTCAACTGATCTATGTTGCTCTTTTTTTTTTTTTTGCTATTTTTTACAATCATCATGTTCTATGTTCCTAATGATCACATGGCATGCAATGGATTTGTGTTTCCAAATTCTAAAATCAAGGTTTTCCAATAATGAAGCCAAAACACATGTCTGGTATGTTCGAAAATGCCAGTTTTGAAGTTTAAATTAATAAATTTGATACCTTAACCATGGATGCGAATCCTGTGGCTACCATTTTACCAACCACTAAAATGCGGTGAGTATGGTTGAACCTTTTTATTTTTACAAAAAATGTTACTAATCTATTGTTGGGCAACATAACAATTTTTCTTTGAGCCTATAATCATAGAAGTATTTTTTATTTTATTTAGCCAGTATCAGAAAAGGCGGTGCTACAACTATGAACCAATCAACTGGACCACCGTATCCTGATTTTAAGGTTAGTTGAATATTATAATTAGAAATGTTAACTTTGACCCAAAATGCTAATGGTCATATTATATAAGTAAATGACATTTATAATAATGACCATTAACACACCTTACTCCTGTGTGACGGTTATTTGAGGAGCTGAGCATTTTAAATCTACATTGAATTTTTTATTTCCTATCTGGACCTGAACTGTAAGAGGCACAAACTTTAGCACTTGGTTGAATGCTCAGGTCAAGTACTAAAAACCTAAAGAAAGGAAGTTTATTTTTATTTAAAATAAAATGTATATTACTCAAATGTATAAAAATGTATATTACTCATTCCTTATCTATATTACCAAAGGGTATAGAATTGCAAAGGTCTGACTGCCCAGATTTTGTATGCAGGCAATGGAACGTTAAAAGAATGTACTGCCAGGAGGCGTCCTATTACAATACGAATAGAGTTCACTCTAAACTCATCTTTCAAGGACGCGCCCCTCGTGGCAGTACTTTTCCAAATGATGGTTTAAGTTCCAAAGAACTCACTAGAGTCGTACTTCTTGCAGTTCAATACTCTTTGATAATACTCACAAAACATTCCTAATTTTTTTAGATATAGAAATTATATGAAAAGTAAATAAATATATGAGGTTTTATATCTTTAGGCTGTGAAAGGGACGGACACCATAACGTCTCATGGTGTATCAAAACTGATTGAAACTGAGTGGCATGCTATTTCAGCTATGCCAGCATATATTGATAAATCATTTGAGGTGAGGCATTATTAACAAGTTAATTGAAGTTAAAAAAAATAATAATGGGGGCACCTTTGAGCAGTTATATTTTTGTGCTATATAAAGTACCAATAAAACTTTGACCTGCATTATCAGTTGTAACAAAATAAACTTTATTGTATTCTTTTTTAGAAACCTCTAAAAAATGTCATGTGTTATATTGTTTTGTTAATGGTTAAATAAATTCATACTTCTTAAACTATTTCTTTGCTTTTATTTTTAGGAGCTTCGTTATGAATACAGGTCAAGTAAGTGGTTCTCATTTATTTCGTCAAACAAAAAACAATAACAACACAAATAATGAAAAAGTTAAGTACATTTCCTGTGTAATTGCTTACATTTTCACTCATTAATCAATTTCATTTTTCACTGAAATCGATTACATTTTCACTGTAATTGATTTCAATTTCACTGTAATCAATTTCACTGTAATCAATTTCACTGTAATCAATTTCATTTTCACTGTAATCATTTAATTTTGACTGTAATCAATTTCATTTTCACTGTAAATGATCACACTTTTAGTGTACAGTAATTGATTACACATTTACTGTAATTGATTACACATTTACTGTAATTGATTACACTTTTACTGTAATTGATTACACTTTTACTGTAATTAATTACACTTTTACTGTAATTGATTACACTTTTACTGTAATTGACCGAATGCCTGATATGTATGATATGTATGTTTATATTTCAGTTTCAGTCTCTACCTTACCACACAAATTGGATTTTCTGCGAGACAAGCAAATTTCCCACATTGTCTGTGGACAGCATCATTCAGTTTTTCTCTCATTGGTAAAATATATTGGGTTTTTAAGCTATGATGACACCTGGTTTAATATTAAATGTTAATCTGCAATGACCTGTAATACACCTTTTTTATAAGAACACAGAGGCTGAACTTGCTTAAAAAATAAGAACAAAATAAGATCAAATTGAGGCTGAGGTAAAATGTCAAATGAGGTTTTTATGTAAACAAATAGAAAAACCAGCAAATCTTATCTGTAACTTATGTGCAGAGCTGTGACTATGTGGTACCCTCTAAAATACAGTACAATAATAATTTTCTATCTTTAAAGATTAAAATGAGAACAAAATAAGAACATTTTGGGCATGAAAATAAGAACACCGAAGTCTGCAAAATTTTACTGGTTCTTATAAAAAAGAGTGTATGTAGTCTTTTTGCCTAATTTACATTTGCTTTGGTCGAAATAAATTAAATGATGTATTAAATTTTAAACTACAGTGATACCTGGTGTATTGGAATATTTGGTCATCTTTGCTGCATATAATCAGATAAATATTTTGATCTTATCATTCAATATTCTACATTTTTCTGATTTTCAGACTGGTATGGTAATTAGCTTTGGGAAGGATTCCAAGGGCACTATCGATAATTGGGCTCAAAGATTTGTAGAACTAAAAGAAGACAAAAAGATTATATGTGGGAAGTAAGTTTATTATACTCTTTCTATTTATATTTACTGGACTAGACCACATAGGTCAAGAATATTCATGACTTATCCCAGGGCACTGTATATCTTGCAAATGCCACTATACATCCTCATTTATTTTTCTCTCAGACCAGTTTAGCTCAGTCGGCTAACCAAATAAATCCAATCCGACTACAAACAGTACTGCTAATTTGTGTACTTTGGTTCATCACTTTTTTGTTTCATTTCAGACAGCACACCTTGGCATTTATACCTTCCAGCAATAATCTTTATATATTTGGTCCAAAATCAAAAGACGACTCCAACCTCACCTTAGTGGTAGTTCATGAATCATTGTATAAGTATATGTATGGTGAAACTGTGGACATTAATCAGAGTTCTGTCGTTTACAATATTTTTTGCGGTGGAAGTACCTGCTATTTTGCCATATCTGAATCACCGGTAAGGCCAAACAAAAAAATATACACAGTACTTGTTTAGCATCACCACCCACCTGAATTTTCAAGCAAAAGTTAACAATAGTTTACTGATACGGTAGGGGTGGGTTGGGGGGGGGAACTGCCGCTGTAGACCAACAATTTAGTTGATATGTGATGCTGAACAAGTAATTTTTTTTATTTGGCCTGACCAAAATCACTCTCTCATGATTTTTTGCATTAAATTTATATTATACATTAACATAGGAGCGGTTAAGCGCAGCAGTTGCGATCCTGCTTCTTAACCATGACATCGAAGGTTCGATCACTCGCTGTGCATTTCGGCTGTGTCCTTGGGCAAGGCACTTTACCTACGGTTGTCTCGCTCTACCCAGGAGTACAAGAGGCTACCTGGTAGGTTCAAACACAAAATGCGCTGATTACTAGCTGCAACATTATGGAATTCTCCCCAGGGAGCTGAGTATGTGTTCCATATGTGTTTGATTCAATGACCTGGGGTGAGGGGGTGGTGGTAATAATGTGAAGCGCTACAGTATGTTAGTTTAACATATTATTATTTATACTTAATTTTATTTATTTCCCTTTTTTCTCATTTATTATGGCTTACTGGTCCTTCTTTGTTGTATACACTAAAAATGTTGGCCATTATCATTATTATCTGCAATACTTGCCAGGATAAATTGATAGTTGCTAAGTTTCCTTTGAAACTATACACGTTGTGAAGGGCTTCAATGAAGGGCTTCAATGTCGCTTGAAATGAAATGCTTTACATCCTTATGAATTAATCTCGCAGTTCCAACTGCAGAACCACAAACAATACAATTCGATAATCTAAGGAAGCTTTCAGTCTGTATGTATCGCTCAAAATCAACAAAGAAACAAGGAATGGTTTAGCCACGCAGGGCGTTTTCCAGGTGACACGGACAATCCCTTTATTAATATTTCACTTGAATTGTAAAGTTTCAATGGAAAATAAGCGAAAATCAGTTTGTCCAGGTAATCTCACTAATAAACTATCACCATCATTGCTATTTTAACCAATTTCAAATCAACTATGTATCAATATTTATCTGATTTTTTCTTTTGTTTTTTAGTCTAACAAGGAGTGCAATCCAAATTCTGGTAAAGAGAACGAACAGTTTTCAAGTGAAATGATTTATCACCTAGATGAAAAATCAATATCGCAACTTACAGCCATATCAAATTTATCAGTAGTTCCAAAAAATATTGCAATAATCATCCAGAAGTTGTTCTCATCATCAGCTTGTTTGAATAGATCATTTCTTACAAGGTATTCAGCATTATACGGAAATTGTAACAAAACCTTTCACTGTTAAATGATAGATTATTGTGATCATTATTACTGTAATCGTTACTATTATTATGACGATAATTGGCATTATCATTTTATAATATTCAGACCCAAAATAAATGTTGTGCAAACACTAACATTTGAAATGGTTGGGCGATAGACAATTTTTTTGCTTCTGGCCTAGGCGTAATCCTGGAACCATCACCAAACAACACTCGCCTCATGCATATTGGTTGGGAAAAAGCTAATCAGGGCAACAATCCATATAATGTATTAATTAAAGTTTGAAAAGTGGCTTTTTGTTTACCACAAAAATATTGTGGGCTCCTTTTGCAAAAAGAAGCAGATTATCAAAGTTTTGCTTCGATCAAACTTGTGCAACACAAAGTTGTTTTTTTTTCGCCTCATCATTACATCATTGTCGTCATCTTCACATCATTATCATCATCATCACTATATCATCGTTACCATCTTTGTCATTATCATCATCTCATCATCACCATTCTCACCACCTTCATGTGTATTGTGTTTATTAACAATATTTCTGCCATCACCATTTTATATTTATTTTAGCACTATTATTGTTTTAATTGAATTATATTTGACATGACATTTACATTTATTAATTTGTTACAGTGATCATTATTGCTGCAGCGAAGAGAACCCAGGCTTTGATCTGGTTAGAGCAAGAAAAGCCCTCAAAACATTGTCTAGCAAACATAATATCTTAATACAGGTATGTTAATTAGTGGTTTTAAAATGTATTTTTATACTGTATATAGATTATGCATATCCCTTAGTGTTACAGAATAGGATGGCAGTGCACTGGATGAAAACAGGCCTTGATTGGCAACAGATTTTGTTGGATGGTTAATCAGTGGCTAAATATTGTTTTAAAATGGTGTATATAGACGTAACTAGGCATATTCAGGATCAATATTATAGTATGTCTTCATCTCTGAATCTCTAAAAAGATATTTTTTAAATCAATCATGGTTGACTGTGAAAAATCAGTTACATTAATCAGATTTGAATTATGAATGAAGCCTCAGTGGCCCAGTAGGCTTGGCATCTGCATAGAAAGCAGAATGTTCGAGGTTTGAATTCCGGCTTGAGCATCTTTTTATCGCAGTCGCAGATTCCTTTTTTTTTATTAATGTTCACGTTTAATATTTTCAGATTTCTCAGGTAATACATTCTCAACTGTGTCCTAGTCTATCTGAGTCGCCCACTGACGTAGAGGCCATTAGACTCTACCTGTTACTAATGGAATGTCCAACAATGCAATTTCCTGAATTGTATCTCAGATCTATTTTCAGTATTACTAAAGCAATGTGTAAACTTTCACCTGAGATGTCAAAGGTTATTGGTATGTATGTTTTAAATTTATCTCATTTTAATTTCAAAGCAAGATCAACTGATTCATTTAACAAGCTTTTTATTTGTGTAATGACACGATGCTAGAATGTATTAAATTATTATTACTAATACCTCTGTGGCACAACATAGATTTGGCAAAATTGCGTCTTAGACTTTATGCGACGAGGACAACTGAACATTCACGTATGCACAGATGACTTCTTAGTGACGTCATTACATTCTTCCTCCTACCACGCCATGCAATCGAAAGCTCCGTATTAATATAAATGTTGACGCACGCGTACGCGCATGTTAAGTTGCGCGAACGGAAAATTAAGGTACCTGTCCAATACAAACCCCTGATTTTCCTTGAATATACAACATACAAGAATACGGTATCTGCAAGTGAACTTTTCCTTGGCCCTTTGCAAGTTATTCTGATTCATCATTCATGGCAGTGAAGATAGAAAGAGTTTGTATAATAAATAATTTGTTTTAAATTATTGGTGTACCTGATGCGATCATGTTAATCATAACTATGTTGCTCTTTGTCTTAGATACATGGATTGGAAATCTCCTTCCTGAACATTTACAGCATCTCATAAGTATTTTCAAAAATGTGATTGTATATTTGGTGTTGAAACAAATGGAATCAACAACGCTTTTAATATTCAAACCTGAATTCAACATAAACATTGCCCTGGATATGCTCAAGAAACTCTACAAGGTAAACATATCTTAGCTTAATAGGTTTCAGTGACGGATCTAAGAATTTGAAATAGAGGGGGCCCAGGTAGGGACTTTCACAGATGGAGGGTGTATATCACCTCAGCCCCATCATGGTTAGCACAGAGGTAAGAAAGTTATGATTATGGCACTCTCAGACTTAAAATCTGAATATAATTTTTTTTTTCTCTTTATTTCTCTTCTCTCTATTTTTATTTTATTTTTACAAATTTAAGGGGACCCTGGCCAGCTGCCCCCTGCCCCTGATTCTCTACTGGATTGTCCAGAGACTTGGGATGTATCCATGACATTGTTGTCATGGATACAAGTAGTGATGTTATAATCATCTTTATTTTATATTACAGATTAATGAAGAGAAAAAGGAGATTGTACTGTACACGTCTTTCTACGTTCCCGAGATGAAACTTCTCTTGGAATGGTTACATGCACATGGATTGGTTAGTTTGTTTATCATGATTGTTTTCAGCCTGTTAGAGGCAGGGATGTAGTCACGGTGGGTGGAGCCACCCAGCCTTGAAGTTTTCCACCCAATCTAAAGCTAATATAATGGCCCTCCACCCACTCTTATTATCCCACTTTTCCATCCGTAAAATCCACTCTTATTATCTAGAGTTTACTAATGTTTTCACCCACCTCCCCCCAGATATTTTTGTGTTCTAGACGCGCGAACATAACCTCTGAGGTATTTTGGGTGATCAATTTTTTTCTTTTTCTTTCTTTCTTTTTCTTATTTTTTTTACCTTTCCAAAGAGGGGAGGGTTGGGGGCGGAAATCCGCCCCTGCTTATGCAATTGGTAGATTGCCTCAAGGCACTTAAATAGTAAAAGTAATATAAAAATAAAAAATGCTAAAACAAAAAAGTACAGGGAACTAAGAGGAAGGCTTCAACTGAATTATTAAAATCCTCACCAAAGATAGCGTCACAGGGTGCTTTACAACTGGTAGATTATTTGTTGTTGACAATCATTGCTTTATTTATTCCAATACACAGCAACAAGTAATTAACATCTATGATTACCCATTCATTCTGGAGAACAATGTGAAGATGCAGATCATCGTATACGACAGCTTGGTAAAGAAAGAGGTAAGGCAGACTGACATCCAACTGAATTGTAGTCAATTTAAGAGTAGTGCACTTTTGTTTATTGAATGTGGCAAGTGATAAGTCACCATCCTAAATCATTAAATCTCTCACCATGAACCCTTCCAGGGATTTTATTCTGGAAACCAGACTGAGGCTCGGCAACCCCTTGTTTCGAACCCCTGTGTCGGAAAATTTCTAGAGCCACCACTATCCTCTGGTACCACTATCATCTGTTAACACTATCTACTGGTACCACTATCCTCTGGTACCACTATCATCTGGTACCACTATCTTCTGGTAACACTATCCTCTAGTACCACTGCCCTTTGGTACCACTGTCCTTTGGTGACACTATCCTCTGGTATCACTGTCCTCTGGTACCACTGTCCTCTGTTACCACTATCCTCTGGTACCACTGTCCTTTGGTACCACTGTCCTTTGGTAACACTATCCTCTGGTACCACTGTCTTTGGTACCACTGTCCTTTGGTAACACTATCCTCTGTACCACTATCCTCTGGTACCACTGTCCTCTGGTACCATTATCCCTTGGTACCACTGTCATCTGGTACCACTATCCTCTGGTTAAATATTATTAAAGAAAGAAAGAAGAACCAATAAACATGCCGATACATAAAATAAAGCATTTGATCTGCAGATAGCAATGAGGGATGAAATGCAGCTGCAGATGTTCAACCAGATGATGATGGGGAACATGCTCTTGAACCCAGCATTCGTCACTCCGCTAGTCTTGACCATCAACAGACAGAACATTGTAGCCAGTACTCTGATGCAGCTCAACAGCCAACAGCAAGACTTCATGAAACCATTGAAGGTGAAATTTGAAAATGAACATGGAATCGATGATGGCGGTGTTCGCAAGGTCAGGATAATATTTTATGCTTATCTTCCGATCAAATTTGTAACTATTTCATTCATATACAAAACTTATACTTACTGCTATAAGGCCATGTAAGTGTTATTTTCCTCTCCCTACCAGAGATTAAGGCCTCAACTTTACTAATAGTAATTTCTTCCTTATTTATTAACAGGAATTCTTTCTGCTGGTATTCAAAGAAATTCTTGATCCAAAATTTGGGATGTTCAAAGAATTTAGCAAAGCACAAACAATTTGGTTCAACCCTCAGGTATGCTACTCAAATATTGAGTAACAAATATCATGCTTCATGTAATTATTGTCATAAAATCAAGCTACAGACATATTGCAGTAAACATATTGTACCACAATAATAGATAACTGTAGCTTGGTGTTTAGGATGCCTTTCTATAAATACCAGAATCCAAGGTTCATACCCTCTGAGGTTTATTCTCATAACTAAAATAACCCCACTCCTTATTCAAAATACAATAATATGTAATTGATATTGATAGGAAGGGAACTAGTAGGATTGGTAAGTGAAGCACAGACAGCGTGGACAGACATGGGCCAAAGCGATCCCACAGAGGGCGCAATGTGATTGAGACGCACATGGTGGATTGTTTTTAATGATGCTCCATTCATACAGAGGAGATATGCCATGAATCATCCAGCCAATGGTCAATGTTGACACATTGTGTGCCCAGCTTTAGCCTGGGAGTCCAAATTAAACCGAGTCAAAATTGGAAAACAGAAATTTCTAGTTATTAAATTATGCTCATTAATATTGAATCTGGTATACAAATCCTTGTGTGGCATCTAACATGAAATTATCTTGGCACAAGCATTTATTGCTGTAAACTTATGCCACAAGCATGCATTACACTATTGTCTAGTTACAAATATGCATCAACAATATCTTGATAATAATACTTCATTAATTCTTTTATTCAATTAAGTCATTCGAGGATAGGTCAATGTTCCGGTTGGTTGGTGTACTGTGTGGTTTAGCGATTTATAATCAAGTTATTGTGGATCTCCCCTTCCCACTGGCACTGTACAAAAAACTTCTCAAAAGGTAAGGAAAGTGAAAATTGAAGCTGAACATATTTTTTTATTGAAGTTTCATTTTTTGTGTCCCATTTTTGAGACAGTATTAAAGTGCTTACAATGTTTCGCGTATTAGACCAACAAAAAAAAATTCTTGTGTTGGCCTTGTTTTGGGAAAATCCAAAAAATGGGTAGGTCAGTAGGACCGTTTTTTCCCCTTTTTTTTACCAGTAATGTGTTAATGTCTAAAAAGTAGAGAATACACAAGGCTGTCGCATCGCCTACCACCGCAAGATAGGCCTATTCTAGCCTTTTTAGCTCATTACAGAAATAGTTGTCAGTAAAATAAAAAATAAAATGCCGGCCCTCAATTTCGAACATTTGTGTCGGTCGGGCGTGGCCAACACAACCATTTAAACATTTTTTTTTTATTTGGAATTAGAATAATGATATCCTATGCAGCCATCAAAACGTTTTTTTTTTCCAGGCCAGTGTATCTAACAGACTTCAAGGAATTAGATGAAGGAATGGCGGGGAGCTTGCAAGATCTCCTGGATTACGATGATTATGATCTACAGGATGTATTCGAATTGTACTTCCAGATATCAACAGAATTCCTTGGACAAGTACGTATTGTTGACCTTAAGAAAGGGGGCATGGACATTCCTGTAACCTATGATAATAAGTAAGTTCACATATCAATATTAGTTTATCTTAATTTACGTATTTTATTTTATATAAAACCACATATTCTGACATTGTTTCACTACAGTGAACATCAAACGTTGTTTCGAATGTAAAGCTTTTGTAAATTCATCCTGCAAGCTAAGTGTTATTTGCTTCCATTAGACAGGAGTATGTGGACCTCTATATTGACTATATCTTCAATGAATCAGTCAAGGATCAATATAGTGCTTTTGCAGAGGGGTTCTTACAGGTCTGTGGTGGACCAGTACTACAAATGTTTCATCCACAGGAGCTTATGGCTATGGTCGTTGGCAATGACATTTATGATTGGGAAGAATTTGAACGTGTAAGTCATCAATTATACTAATGCATGCCTGTTTTTTACCAGTTATTATCATGATTTTGATTTTAAAAAGCAAGTTATTAATTGAACAATTTAATAATTCTTATTTGATCAACCATTATTTTTTTTTCATTTAAATATTTATTCATTAATGCATTCCTTTTATTCATGCACATTATTTTACAGAAAGATAAAAACTTTATGTATTTTATAACTTTAACCACCTTGCAAATTTCATTTTCCCACACACATTGCCTAGGCTAACTTACTACAACAAAAAGGTCATTATTCCAGTCAAAGCATAGATAAACACTAGTAACTACATAGAGCGAAATACCTAGGCCTGTGGATATTCCCCAGTGGTAGTTGCCAGGTTCTCAAAAATATTTGAAGTGTCATTTCATATTTAGCAAAAATTATGTATTCAGATAAACAAAAGTTTCAATCGTGAATTAAGTATGTAATATTATGTTTCCTCATTTTCTACTAGTTGGTTGAATACCGAGGCATCTTCAACAAGGAACATAAGACTATTAAATTCTTCTGGGAGGTTTTTCATGAATTCACATTACAGGAAAAGAAGAAATTTCTAGGTACTATCTCTATTTTTTTTAAATTTAAATTTAATTATTCAAATACGAAATAGTGTACAAAAAAACAATAAAGCATGATATTGGTAAACCAGTTGGTACACTAACTGCGTCTAAGCCTGTGTAAAATAATCTAATTTTTTTCATTATCAAGTAAAACTCTACACCATAAGTTTCATAATGAGGCTTACAGGTAGTTTATGTAGATCATCTTAATGTTTGTTTTGCAAAAGGGATCAAGTTGCCCTTTAGAAATTTATTTAGTTCTATAGCCAATTTGTAGTTTGAACCGCCAATGCCCATATCAAGGCCAATTGACATAACAAACATACACACAACATAGGTTTATGCCTGCATTGACCTTGGATACTTCTGGATACGTGCATGCGCAGTTCAAATGACGATTTGGCTTTGGTATATCCTTGGCCCTTATAATTTTATAATAAACTTAGGAAATACACTGAACATTTTACAATTGTTGAGAAAATTTATGTCAGCTTCAGCTTTTCTTAATTGTTTATGAAGTTTTTCCAATCTTCTGCAATCTTGTTTACAAACATCATTGTTATGCATATCATGAATGATAGAACCAATGATCGGCAAGAAAGCAAAAGCAACACAAGTTTAATTACAGTAAAGAAAAGTCAGATATTTTTCTTCTGTATCACACGGATATCATCAGTGAACAAAATAAAACATAACAAATGAACCTACACTACTTATATACTCATACATGATGGTAGATTGAACTGCAGGTGGTTTTGAAATTTGCCTCAACTCGTAAGAAAAGTTACAATGTCGCACGTTATCCATTAATATATTAATGTTGTAATGTTGCACTTGTTTGTTGATTGATGGCTCAGTCCATTTAATATGGAGTGCCTCCTTAATTTTAAGTTGGAAACTGCTGTTGGCCTGATCTAGGATTTTAAAGCTTTCTCTATTTGAATTAGATTTGCACAAAATAAAATAGTATTACCTGTACTACTGTACTACTGTGTAATAATTTTTTTTTCCTAGCTTTCTTAACAGGTAGTGATCGGATTCCAGTGCAGGGCATGTCTCAGCTAAAAGTGATTTTCCAACCAGTGTTTGGAAGCACAGACTTCCTACCAGCGGCTCATACCTGCTTTAACTACCTTGATTTACCTTTGTACGAAAGCAAAGAAAAAATGAGAGAGAAGTTGATGAAGACTTTGGAATATGCTCAAGGATTTGGGCTTCTGTAATCTTGTCACAAATTTGTATTAAAGGTGAAGGACTTTATTGCTTAGTGGAGGTGCAATCAGAGACTCTGTATACATTATATGAAATCAATTTGAATAATGTGAACACACAAGTTTATGAGAACTTAAAAATGGTCATAATCAGAGACAGATTTAGGATAGGGGTGGGGGTGGTAGTACTGTACTTTCATCTTTCGTTTTTCAAAAGAAAAAAGTACAAAATGGCATACAAATAATAATAATAATAATAGTACTTAATGCTACAATATTTCATAACAGCGTATACTGAATATGAATCATACTATTATTGGATTCTTATTTATCTGTATAATTATATTACATCTAGGCCTATATGAAGGTTTAAATAATTCTGTATCTGCCCCTGATAATCACATCCTTAATGGGAAACCTCATATTAATAATTATAATACTGTGTATTGTTTATAGTGCATCATTATGATCCATCAAATATGCTAATGAGGCTTTCAGAAAATTGGCAAAGATGATAAAATATATAAAGGAAAGTAGTGAGTATTACTGCCCCCCTTATTAATTTGTCCCACAACCCTGCTTTTACACAATTTCACACAACCTAATCTAATACAGTATTTGTCTACTCACCGAAATATAGGAACTTAAATTGCATGATGCTATTAAATATTTGAATGCGACTCAATTTAACTTGTGTATAATTATTCCACATGGTGGAATTACCAATTTAAAAAAAAATTCCATATTTCACGCAGAGGTGTCGCTACAGTGCTCTCAGTGCAATCGTTGCACTGCGTAGCAGTCCCCGACGCAATCGGTAAGCCTCCCTGATTTGACCGACCAATCAGCGTCGCCGAAAGCTGTCAGTGATAGTGTGTAGTGATTGTGCAGAAACCAAGCTTGACAAGGTACCTCTGAAGACATAAGCACTTAGCACAAAAAGGACAAATTAACATTTTAAAGATACACTGTCTGTCAAAGAAAAATTAAATTTAAACCTTGAAATGCTCATTAAAATGGATCGATCTAATCAACAGACATTTTACTACAAAAAAACTGTTGATTTATCATTAAAATGAATGGACAATATAAAAGAATACAGGACAGGTATTTATTTAACAGTCCATTATTTAGCAGGGGAAAAGTTTTCTTATTCAAATTTTAATTTTAAATCAATTAATATTAACAGACAGTAAATATGAGAGACATTACATATTTGATTAATAACTGAACGCCCATCTACCAATGTTTCATGCTCTAAAACAACACTGCACAGTAAAACCAGCTCAATTTCGTATAATATTAGTTCTATTTTGAAAAGGATCTTTCCGCGGGGCTAAGCCCACACCTTGTGGATATTGTTGCTAGTCCCACAAAACGACTGCGTAAAACGTACGTAAACTTGTGTTCTGGGACATGCGCGTATTTATTGTACTGTTCTGGTTGTCAGTTAAGTTTGACATGCTGGATAGGTCCATCAGCAGGTGTTGGATATGAGAGTAACAAATAACATTAAATGTATTTGATGCTGTGTTTTAGTCTTGTGTTTGCATTGGCACTATAATTGCGTTCTTTGTGGAAGATTAAGTGGAGGAGTTATCATTTTGTGGAAGTGACTTTACTATATATCTATAATTTATCTATAATTTAATTAAGGTGTTTATTATTGACTTAAATATTCCTATTTTATTGATTAGTGTTATTTAATTATTTGTATCCAAATTTGAAGATGACGATATTAAATATTAAAAGTTATGATAAATGTGTTTCTTGTTTATTCTATCAGTTATTGACCGTATTGGCAAGTGCCATTATGGCAAATTTAACACTTACTTATTGGTATAATTACTGCTACCAGACAGTATTTTACAGACAGATGCATTGAGGCAGCACCTCTTAATCATTACAGTATCTACTGACCTAACCAACTATTGACATGAATGAAATAAAATAATTAAAAAAATACTATACGATTTAACTTAAGTGGTTTACAAGATAGGTATTGGGTACGATTTAGTATGATTGTTTCAGAGCATGGGTACGGTAGGGTATCTGGTCGCCCACTAGGGAAAGTTGCTCTATAGGTTGCCAGATGCTATTTCCAGGCATGTAGGGTTATTTTTTGTTGGCACAATATTTTTAAGGGTTGGGGCTTAGCGGAATTGTTCATTATCTCCTCGGTAGTATCGAGGTAGAGCTGTTGGCTCAGAATCCTTTTATAGTCATTTGTAAACATAATATTTACATTAAAGTAGCATTGTAAGCTTCAGCTCAGAGTAGAAAATGAAGTACACCTAGTAAACTGTAAACAATATATTAGATAGAGTAAATATAACGCAGGTAAAATTATCCCCCCAAAAGTCACCCCCGGTATTTCTAATTTATTTATAAAATAATAATTTATTAAAAAGTGACTAAACTACATGGTAAAAACTACCCCCGCCGAACATCGTCCCAGTATTTATGAGTGCACATTCTATTGTTTTCCTCTGTTTATAATGTAACGTATGTCTGCTCAAATCAGTAAGAAGAAAATGCCATATAACTGCACTTCCTCAAAAAAAGTCTCTATATTTGAAGTGGGAAACATCAGTGTCGACGCCACCAGCGGAGGTGAGGGATAGATGATCTGGGGAAACGGGATCTTGGACTTCCCGTCGAAAAATTTCGTAGCGAACACTACTTTTACAGTCTCATAAATTTCCTGGCATGGATTGTCGAGAAATTTGGATCTTCATATCGGGAAATCTATGGCGCCGTCACTGCTTTACGTCCGATTGGGGCTGTGGGAGGGCCTGGTGGTGAGGTTTCGTCGGATCTACGTCATATTGTCGAAATCCAGTTTGCTGAATCCCAGATTGCCTAGTCCACATTGTCGAAATCCCATTTTGCCGAAACCCAGTTTGCCGAAAGTCAGTCAAACGGCAGTGAAACATTAAAAACAGCATAACATTCGTGATGGAGCACTCTTTTACCGTGACTACGTCTGTATGAACTGGTGGAGCCAGCGGAAAGTAAGGGCATAGATATAGATATATATTTATTCATCCATAATTGGAAGTTGTTCTTTTCCACTCTCAAAGAAGAAAGAAATTTACATGATTTATCGGGGGAAAAAAAAGAAACTAGTTATTACATGTCTGTTTTTTAAAGAGGCATATTCCAGAATTGCAAAATTGAGAATTTAGAAGCCTTCCAATGCGAAGTGCGATGCGATCACTGTTTATTCGTATAATAGATAACTGTTATTATAGTTATTAGTTTTGTCTTATTCTGCAAATCAAACTTGATTAACAATTTAGCTATCAGCAAAAACTTAATTAAATATGCCTGTCAGATAAAATGTCTTATAAGCATAGGGCCTATTTATAATACCTAAATTTGTATACCTAAATGAAATAAATAAATAATAATACTAATCTACAATTATACACCTGACTAGACTAGAGTCTCTGTCAGGGTCCCGGCATAAAAAAATGTCTATGTGTTCGCATTGGGCCATTTTAACGGCCAATCCCTATCCAGGTGACACTGCTATTAAGGGGACACTTTTTTGGTCCCGGAGATGTCCCCAAAGGGTTCTACTGTACATATAGATTTACAATTCCATGAAAAAAGCAAATCAAATTTAAAAAATAAAGCAAAAGCATGTGAAGCAATAACATTTCACTGGTCAAGTACGGTACATATTCTAATTGGAAAATTTGGATAAAAATAGTTTTTGACCAGTAATAATAAAGCAATCACTTCACTCATCAAACATGCAAGTCTCTTTGGGTAAATTCATGTAAAAAAATACATTAGAAAATTCTTCAATATGACAATGATTGAATAAAGTAATGAGGTGGTGAACACTGTGACACAAGGTTTGTATTTTGTTGTTTATTTTCATTTTGATACATAATCCGATTCCGATTATTTATAAAATACACAAATAAATGGATAATAATGTATGTTTCAATATTATTTATAAATGCACACATGTTAACGGCCGTTTATATAATAAGCTGGAAAATTCACTCCCTTCCTATAGTTGCTTGGAACTATTACTATTAAAAAAATTGGAAAAAACTTTCACACAAATAGGTTCCCATATGTACTGTACTCGGGTTGAAGCAGACACGCTCTTTGTACGCCGCCTTTATAAGAATGTAGTCCAGATGCTAAAAACATAGACGACTGAATATTTTTATGTACAAGACATGCGATGGCAGTGTGTACGCTGTGTTGCGTATTCATACATTGTCATTAACTTCGTCTCTGCTATAATTCCGAATTTATTATTTTGTTTAAAAAATGTTAAACTTTTTAAAGCTTTCAATCAATTTCATGTAGGCATGGATCAAAATTTCACACAATATTTGCGATTGGATTAGGATGACAATTTCTGCAATCTAGCCGCGAACACAAATATGTAAAAGGGTAGTTAAACTGTAACTTTATTGCATATAAGTATTTTAAAAATTTAGATAGGCCCTATAAAATTATACGTTACTCAAATTAATTCAAATACCATAATACGAACGATGTTTGCCCTACCTGACGTGTGTGTGTTTTTTGTTTTTTTTTCGCAAGTATTTGGGATACTGAGCGTATACCATAACACGGCAGGAAGGAAACATCATCCGTATTATAATGACTGAGGTCTTAACGGCGGCGCTGTATAGCCAAAGTATGTACGTCTTATCTTATAGCAAGATTCCGGTGTCTCTGCCCACTAACATCTGAATTATCTGTAATACACGACTCGAGTGCGCGTGCCTTTATTATATTTGAGAAGTATAGTATGAGAAAAAGTACTGTATAAGATTGGATTTCGGCTCACGGAGTAGGTAAATGAAAGTAAATACAAAAAAGACAATTAATACAAAAAAGACAATTAAGTTTTTATGGTACAATACAGAAGTTAATTAGTTATTGTCGATAATTGCAGATAAAAGATCATGTGATGTGATGATGATGAATTTTACTATATAACAGTGTCATTTCTTGAGGTATTCCCAACCATGATGGGGCTGAGGTGGGTGTTGACTCACGGCTTTGAAGTAAGTAATGTAAAGTAAAAACCTAAAAAAGACAATGTTTTAAGTTTTATTTTTTATGGCACATCACGTATATAATTAGATCTCTATGGTTGCGGAAAATTGATGATAAAAGATCATGAGAAATTTGTTGGCGCTTTATTTTTACTATAATGGTGATGTGATGATGACGAATGTTACTATATAAATGTGACATTTCCGGCCATGAGAGTTACTATTTCCCACAATTTTCGCACTTCAGCCCCAACCTTGGTGGGGTTCAGATGGGTGTGGACTCAAATCTTATTGAAGTGATAAAGTAAAGTAAATACACCAAAGACAATGTTTTTAAGTCTTATTTTCTATGGTCTCATCACACATACTAATGATTTTATGGTTGCCGAATCGATGATAAAAGTTCATGAGAAATTTGCTGGAGCTTCATTTTGACTATAATGGTGATGTGATGATGAATTTTACAGTGTCATTTTCTGCCATCAGAGGTACTATTTCCTCAAATTTTCGCACCTCACCCCAATCATGTTGGGGCTGAGGTGGGTATGGGCTCTCCCCATACCCCAATTTTACCCAAAATATTCTTGCTTCCCCAGTTTCCCCCCTCCCCTCCCAAAAACGGAAGAAAAACAACAATTCGTCGGGGAGA